CTAGTGAAATGCTACATTTGGAGCATAGCTCTGTATGGGGCTGAAACATGGACACTTAGGGCAGTAGATCAGAAACATCTGGAAAGTTTCGAAATGTGGTGTTGGAGAAGGATGGAGAAGATCAGTTGGACCGATTATGTGAGAAATGAAGAAGTGTTAATTAGAGTCAGTGAGCAGAGGAATATCCTACATGAAATAAGAAAATGGAAGGCTAATTGGGTTGGTCATGTTTTATGCAGAAACTGCCTTCTAAAAGAAGTTACTGAAGGAAAGATAGAGGGGTGGATAGAAGTGACAAGAAGATGAGGGAGAAGACGTAAGAAGATGCTGGATGACCTTGGGGACAGAAGAGGATACTGTCATTTGAAGGAGAAAGCTCTAGATCGCATTATGTGGAGGAATTGTTTTGGAAGAGACTGTGGACCTGTCGTCTGACAGATTACTGATGATGATGATGATGATGATGATGATTACATCCCTCAGCACAGCCACTTCCAAGGTCTAAAGTTCCACATGCACCTTCCATTAATATGTATGGTGTCAATGCTATCAACCTTCTTTTATACAAAAGTATTTCAGTATGGATGTGTTATACAGAGCCCAAGCTTCCAGACAGTCATTGATTCTTTCACTTAAAACAAACATACTTAATATGTGAGCAAGCATAAACATTTCACTCAACCACAGTCCCAATGTAACCACAATAAACGCAACTGAGATATGTAAGATATGAATGTGTTACTCCTGTCATCCCTATCAGGCATCATAAGTAATGTCATCCCTTACGGCATACACATATATAATAAATATTACACTAGTTAGTCAAGTCAAAGTTTTTCGCAGCAGTGACTAGGAAGGATGTAGTATTTCAGGTTATAAGGCAATGCAGTTTCAAGGAAACTGGGTACTCATATTCCCCTGAAACATGGCAGAGTAGCATTACATGAGTATACCATAGAAGCTGCCCCAACTTAATCTTTAATGGATATCATTCATAAATTGGCAAGAGTTTAAGTACTGGAGAAAAATATGTATTATGTATATATTAAAATAACTAATTCGACTACATATGAATCACAAACGAATGATTTCTAACAAAGAATATTCATCATCTGGATATAAAGGAAGCATACACATACAAATATTAAAATAAAAAAACCATTGAGATAAAAAATGATGAATAAACGAAGCACAGAGACATCCACAAATCAGTATCACACTTGTGATTATCGCTGCCCACAGCCTCAGACTAAAAGAAGAAACTAAAAGTAGTATAGCAAAAAGCTTTAAAATCAGCAAATAAATACTCCCTGGACAAAAAGTAAAAAGATACCTTCCCACATAATCTAATGAAACATGTTCATACACTTGGAACAAGACAGTCTAGACATATATTTATACATCTCTTAGTCATGTCTTTCCTCTCCAATTCCTTATGACCATGATTCATGGCTGGAAAAAACATCTCAGCTCCTGGCCAGCCTAAAACACAATGAAATCTGGATTTACCTTTGCTAAGATTTAGATGGTTAGTGAGAGTTCAACAAATTAAATGCAGCAATGTCAAAACTTCTCAGTCCATTGCCCTTTTGTGTTTCTTTTTGTTTCCTCCTAGCCCTGACTGAGGTTCTAAACGACATACCAGACACACAGTCCATTAAATTATCCAACCTCTTACACTGCACAGAAAAATGCAAACTCACATCTGACTAGAGACAGACCTCAGAATGCCAAGACGACCAGGTGCCCAATTCATCAGCACACATTAATGGACTGTTAAAGAGAAAGAGGCCATGATTTATTCCAGCCATCTTACAGTGCATACACTCATCCACCTCACTCTTCACTCCTGCACTACATGTTTCGGCATAAAGGTGCCATCTTCAGGTGCTTTTCGATTTACGTTAACTACTTCACTGCATGCCTTGGCACCTTTATGCCGAAACATGTAGTGCAGGAGTGAAGAGTGAGGTGGATGAGTGTATGCACTGTAAGACGGCTGGAATAAATCATGGACATAAATCAGTGCAACAGGACGCTAAAATATAACATGAGAAAGAGGCCTTTGTTTGACCTTCAACAGAACTTACTTTTGTCCCTGTTCCATGACCTTCGAAGTATTCTAGTAAGTTCTTGCTGGCACCACACTCCTGGTAGCACTCATCCAGGAGCAATTTATGCATATCTCCAGACGGATGCATGATGCCCTCTTCCTTATAGCCATCACATTTTGTCTTGTTATTAAGCACCGTAGCATATATACGCTTTGCATTGCAAGCCCTCTGAAGGAAGATTACACATACAGCCTCGCTGCGCACATAACCATTAGCTGTGTACATGACACAAACAACATGAGATCAAATATTATTTCAAGAACAACTGTGAGACAGTTTTGCTATTCATGGCAAACTTGTACTCACCATCCCTGTCGAAGGTTCTACAAAAGCCTTCGTGATTTAAGACACCGAGCTCTGAGAACTGGAATGATAAGTAAGGATGAAAACAAAGGTTGCAGCCACCCACAATAGCTGAGTCACAACACCCATCCCGGATGGCTCTGCACGCCTGCTCAAATGCATAGGAACTGGATGAGCAGGCAGTATCCACTGCAAAGCTGGGGCCTACAATACAATATACAACACATTACACAAACATGTTCATCCTTCTACACTAATAACCCTATCACTAATAAATAAATTATGGAGGAAGAATACAGAGTCACATACTTCACAGAAACTAAACGTCTGAGGAAACATACAGCCTCCACCTTCTTGGTGAAAGGGTAAGCCAAAAAATACGGCAACAGAAGCGAGTGCAAACCTGAGCTCAGCTTGCTGCCTCACTACAAACTTTGTAGCCACAAGCATGAGAACCAAAAATCCAAGAATTCTAACAGGATCTGATGATTGTATGTAGTAATTAGGGTCATGGGATACTGGGGCCTTGTTCTCCATCCACTATTCCAAACGAAATGCAACACTGTGAAAATTGAATCTGTTTCTGTCCCAGGCAGAAGGGATGAAAGACATTTACATGGTTGGGTCCATTAGAATGAGCTACTCTGAGTCACTGGACAACTGAATCACTCAACTAAACATACATGAGCATCTAACATCCTGTGTTTCAACAGGCAATAATAAGAATATCCATATATACAAATGCTAAGGCTTTGTGTTCTGACATTTTGTACACTTATTAGCAGTCACTGTGAGTTTGTAGTTATGACAATGACCAGAAGATCACATTAGATGCTCAATATTCAAAAGTAAGTGATATACAAGGTCCATATAAAAAGTATCGGGAAAAATCTTTCCCTTACGTGACTGTACACCGCAGCATGCTCGCACCGCACAGGCGTGGTAGTGGGGGTCTAACCTTTAACACGCGCCAAGCACCATTTGCCTGAGCGCGTTCGTAGAGGCCAGGCCGTGTTTTCAGTGGACCCCTGTCAAGTGAGTCGGTGCAAGTGCAGAATGCAGCGAACAATTGAACAGAGTTACGCCATCAAGTTTTGTGTTGGACTGGGGAAATCGGGTACGGAGACGTTGGGCATGATTCACCAAGTGTTCAAGGATGAAAGCATGTCACAAACTGCAGTTTTTAAGTGGCACAAGCTCTTCAAAAGTGGCCGACAGAGTGTGGAGGATGAGCCCCGTGGTGGACGGCCATCGACGTCAAGAACCGACGACAACGTGCAAGGTGTGCGTGATGTACTCAATTCAGACCGTCGGTTAAGTGTGCGCATGATTGCAGATCGTGTTCGCATTGATAAGATGACGGTGCACACCATTATCACTGAAGATTTGGCGATGCGAAAGGTCTGCGCGAAACTCGTCCCGAAGGTCTTGACGGACGACCAAAAGCAGAGACGAGTGGCTGCTTGCGAAGACCTTCTGNTTCGATGCCCATGGGGTGGTCCACTATGAATTTGTACCTGAGGGGCAAACAGTGAATGGAGCTTTTTACCTGGAAGTGCTAAGAAGAATGAAGAGAAGGGTCAATCGGGTGAGGCCAGCCATCGCCGGAAATTGGAAACTGCATCATGACAATGCACCCAGTCACACCTGCTCCAAGGTGACCGACTACCTGACAAAAAACGGCATCGCGACGGTACCCCAACCCCCCTACAGTCCTGACTTGGCACCAGCAGACTTTTTCCTGTTCCCGAAAGTGAAATCCTCCCTCAAAGGGCACCATCATGGGACCCTGAGTGCTGTCAAAGAGGCTTGCACGCGGACCCTTAAGGACCTTCCGGAATCCGCCTACCAGGGAGCCTTCGTGTCATGGCAACGCCGTTGGCAAAAGTGTATCGATGCACAATGGATGTATTTTGAAGAATTTTGAGGCATTGTAGCAATATCTGAAATAAATCTATTTTCCCGGAACTTTTCCCGATACTTTTTATACGGACCTTGTACATTATTCACGAGTTAAAAGCAGAATATGGCAGTTAATTATAATTATAAATGTGAACAGAAGAATGCAGCAAGTAACGGGAAGGGCAGAGATGACTAAATCATTGGCACTGCAATAAGTTTAATGTCTTATTTTCTGTGAATACATCAGAATGTTTATATTTGGTAAAGTGAATTCCAAATTTCTTCATCGAAACTCCTGTATGTAAAGTATATTGCAAATACACAGAAACTGTTTTCGCAATAGATTTTATGCTTAATTTCCCACTTAAACTTCAATAGGCTTTATATTAAATTACAACAGAAATGGTAGAGATATCCAGAAAAACCTACAACTAAGATAGAATTCTAACTAAGATAGAGTTCTTTCTTACACACAAACATCCCTGTGGTTATGTTTTATACTGCTTCATACCAAAGAGATACATGTCATGGAATGGAATGCTTCATAAAAATTACTGACTTTGCAATATGTTCTAGTGACAAAATGTTCTGTTAGTAGCATAGAAAGACTTCACTATAACTCTATTTGTGACTGGCAATAAAGATTCTTGTGTAATGCTCTGTCACTAACCATGAATTTTAAACTCCATACTTAGTTATACTTTGACATCAGTAAACATAAGTGTCAACATGCATGCATAGACTGCAGTCAGGGTTTCATTTCTGTTTTTAAACAATACAAGTGGCACCCTGCAGGCAGTATATGTATAGATTGTCCAGATGAAAGGCATCCAAAATAAAAATTTATATTTCAGAAAGCATTTATCATACACATTTATGGGTTACACCATTGCAAAGGGAAACTATCAATTCTTTTTTCTGCGTTTATAACTTTCTCAATAAATTTAAATGTGGGCACTCTTGGTGGCACAACAAATATCCATACAAAATTTGACCTTGTTCCACGTTGCTTGAAGCATGTTCGGTGTTACTGTAGTCACAGCATTCCTTATGTGGGCTTTCAGGTGTTGAAGGTCTTCGATCTTAACTTGGTAGGCAATGTTCTTCACATAACCCCACACGAAAAATCCATTAGGGTTAAATCTGGTGAACTTGGAGGAGAAGTGATTGGTCCACTTATGCTGATCTTTTTCCCAGCCATCTCTCTGTCCAGGTAATTCCCAACATGATGGTAGAAATGTGGCAGTGCCCCATCTTGTGGGAGATTTGTATTGTATTGTATTGTATTGGAGAGGGTGGGTTTCCGCATGCACTTAGACCAACTGTTGGTCCATTGTGCGTCCCTCTATGATATTCTACCAGTCTCTATTCCCTACCGGTACTGGTGTGTGCCATCAGTCCCGACTCAGCCAGCGAGTTCGGCCTCTACTGGCTCAGTGGTATCTTGATGCTTCCCCCATCTACCAGAGGCATTAGAGACTACTGATGGGCGGGAAATGTCCTGAATTTGGCTCAGTGGTCCCCTTGGGACATGAGTGTCTTTTACGTGCCGTAAAGCTATGACACGGGACCCATGGCTTAAAGTCCCTCCTGGAGGACCTGTTCCCTGAATTTTTCCGCCCTTAAAAATTCCACGACCTCCGCCGGGTTTGAACCCGTATACCTTGAGTCACGAGGTGGGAACGTTACCCCTAGACTACGGAGGCCGCTCATCTTGTGGGAGATAGTTTGAGGGGTAAATGGGGCAGCACATTCAGCTCCAGCATGTCCAAGTACGCATGTCCAACCACTGTCTTTTCGAAAAAGAAAAATGGTCCACTTAATCATCCATTAAGCTGGCCCATGTGCTCACTTTGGGGCTGCCTCTCTCCAACTCACACATGATATGTGGATTTTGACTCCCCCAAATCCTGCAGTTGTACCTGTTTACAACTCAACTGACATGAAATGTCACCTGGTCCGAGGAGTGCACTTTGTGGAGGAAATTGGGTGTTGAGTCAATTCTTTCTTGCATGTCCACAGCAAAGTGTGTGAGTGCTACTTGGTCACTCAGTTTTAGTGCATGGATCATTTACGCTCTTGTACACTCTTATGCACAGCATTTTGTGTAGCTCATCATGTACTGTTGAATGGAGAATTTGTAACTGCAAGCTAACAGCATTGATTTGCAGACTTCACTGGAATGCCTCTCTAATGCCAATGACATTTTCTTCAGAGGTCTGAGTTATTCCAGGAGATCTTAAATGCAGCAGACTACCTGTAGTCGTCAGTTTGGTGTCCCAGAGCCGAATGCTTTTCCAATAAGAGTTTGACATCCATATTGTGTTCTAAAATGATGCTGGACAGCTGTAAGAGATTGCTACACTGCTAGCCACAACAAGCATTGAACCTGTTCCTGTGGTGTCGATTGAGCTCCGCAAAGATCACCAGCTGACGCATATGCGTAAGCTAGGAAAAAAAAATAAATTCCGGTGTTTTCCTTTCAGAAGACATAAACTGGATAAAAGTATGACATTTAGTTTCTGAGATACAAATCTTTTATTTTGTATACCTTTCATCCTGATACCCTCTATTTAGGGTGGGCAGTAAAGCTGTTGCACAGAATTCTCCCTTAGTTCTAGATTAAGGAATTGTGTTCACTGGTTGGTGAAGCCAACATTGCTGTATGCCATTGTGCAGCTGCAGTCCGGGCTTACAGTACCAGGAGCAGTCTATAGAATGGATTTGCAATGCATGTTCATATAAGGCCTGCATTTACGTGTGTGAGAACAGGACTCCAGAATACCATGGTATAAATCATGGGACAGCAGGCTGAAAAGAGGCTCTACTGTGTCACTGACAATGAGAAGTGTGTGGCTACATACACAGGCTTCAAATTAATGATCGTGTACAAGAAACTATAAATTACAATCAAGAACAAAGCTTGGCATTATACAAGTAAAAGTCTGGATAAGAGGAAGTTAAAAGAAAAATCAAACTCTGCTAATTTCACATGGTATGCAATTCAAGGGTTCAAACAAAGATAATGCAAATATGCAGAGCCTTAGCAAAATGGAGAACCTGGTTAACTGTGTGGGAGCTGCCCACATTCAAAGAAGTGTGACAACGCAAGCTTCATCTTAGCAATGACGAGTAAACAGCGGCTGCTAGGCAAAGCCTACAACAATACTGACAGTGACATGTTTTCTATATGTCCGACTCTAGGCTACATAAGAAGATACACTGAGTTACAGTTACAGTACAGTTCAACAACAAAATGTCAACGGCTGCGGTGTTCTTGGACATTGAAAAAGCCTTTGATACCACGTGGCATTCAGTTATCAAAATTGGAATTCTCGAACAGTTTGACCAAACTTATTGGGTCCTTTCTTTCTCAGCGTCGATTCAGGGTTTCGGTTGAAGGCCAAATGTCAACCCCAAGGGACATGCAAGCAGGGGTGCCACAAGGTTCAGTCCTCTCCCCTACCCTTTTCAATTTGTACATAAATGATGTCACCCAAACACATGGTGTTCATATGGCACTCTTTGCGGATGACACCTGTCTGTATGCGACAGATCGCAAGGAGGGTTTTATTGTTAGAAAACTCCAGTGTGGTCTCAGCTCAATGGAGACCTGGTGTGAGCGCTGGAATATTAAAATTAATGAAGATAAGACTCAGGGGGTCTACTTCTCTTGTAGTCGTCGACTGCCTGAGTCTTGTCTCACTTTAAATGGACGAAATGTTCCATTTGTAAATAGTGCAAAATATTTAGGTGTAATCTTCGATAAGAGAGTTACATGGAGATTGCACATAGAAATGATCGAAGCCAAGGCCTTCAGAACATTCATTAGCGTGTATTCCCTATTCAAAAGTGAGCGATTGAACGCTAACATTAAAATGACCCTCCACAAAGCTCTCATTAGATCCGTAATGACTTATGTTAGTACCGCCTGGGAGTTTGCGGCAGACACCCATCTAGTGAAATTGCAGCGCCTGCAAAACAAGGTTCTCCGAACCACTGGCAATTTTCCAAGGCGCACACCGGTCCGCAACTTGCACATGGCATTTAAAATCCTGTACATATATGACTATACAACAAAATTATGCAGGAGACAAGCAGAAGTCATACAAAATCATGAAAATGAGAATGTTCACAACATCGGACAAGGCGAAGCCCGACACAGAAAGTATAAGAGGCTTAAACTTGGCGGCAGTCAGGCATACTACCGTTCAAGTGACTAGGCTACTGTGGTAGCAAATACTAGTAGAAATAGGGCATAATCTGCTGTACCGAGCCTGGATTGACAGAGGCCTTGTATATATTGTGCATAGGAATTAAGTTTAGATTGTAAATGTATGTAGATACTAACAACGGACTTACTAACACAGACTATGACTGAAAAATGACAGACCCTCTCGTCAGAGAGGGCGCCCCAAATGAACAGGACAGTAACTTTCATATAAAGAAAAAAAAAATCTGGTCATGAGCCCCAGTCGGGGCTCGACACCAAGACAGACAGACTGACTGACCGTGAGTCGCAATGTGACTTTGACTTTGACAGTTACAGTTCACTATTGTTATTATCCATCTGTGTATATTGCGCAGCTGCAATAAATCCTATAGGACAGTTCAACTAGTGGTTGTCTCTTCATATGACATCCCACAACTGATTTTCTGATAAATCCTTGTATTTTCACTGAAAATTTAAAATTCATGTAAATATAATATAATATCTCTTTCATGCGATCTCTGCGAAGTAAAAAGTGTAACAACCTGCAGACAGTACAGTCTACCTGGTCAAAAACAGTGGGACAACCATCTTTCTAAGAGAAGAGAGGAGCCCTAGTTCACTAGTTCAGTAATAGTGGGCCTGCTCAAAAAAAGCAATAACATGAAAAAGGAGGAAATTTCAAATTTTCAAAGCAACAGTCCATAGTAGGCCTTCCAGTTTCATAACAGACCAAAGAGAAAAAATCATTGGTTTCATCATAAGCCATTCATCCACAGAACGAAATTTAATGCAGATAAACAGGGGAATCAGAAATTTGTGCATTTCATTTCTCATTTAACAACAAATTCTCACCAAAAAAGGTTAGTTCATAAAAAGCAAAAGATGGTTATGAAAAATGAACTGGGGATAATATGCCATAGTCTGTTTGAAGATACTACTGAGTTGCATAAAGGGACAGAGGAGAACAACAAACATCAACAGGAACATATGGTCTCTGGCTTATGGTTTAGACACATGGAGAGACAGACAGACAGAAAGACAGACACAGAAAGCAAGTGGTACTTGTTGTTGCTATGAAAGTGTCCAAATATGGATTCACACAGACAGAGGCAATGAAGTACGTATACAGTAGAACCTCGACTAGCTGAATTAAATTGAATTGAATTGAATTTATTTACATTCTATAAATCCTAAGAAGGTTAGTACCTTTGGATACAGAACAAGTCAAAAGGTTACATACATAAGTACAGGCAATTTTAGCTTAAAAATTAATATAACTTAATTTTACATCATTCTCTATTTACATTGAAGTATTCATCTAAAGAGTAGAAGGAATGAGCATGTAGATAATTCTTTAACTCTGATTTAAACTAAACCT